AACATGGCCACAAGGACCGTGCACCCCGTCCCATCCAGCAACGACCAACTGTCTCCTGGAGCCAGTATGAACGAGGTGGTGGGTAATAGACAGGTAGGCACCTTGTCAACATGCACATCAAGCGCAGCCACACCTGGGATGTCAAACAACGGCCAATCAATCAAAATGCCGATATCGAATGAAGTAAACGCATATGACGACATAAATATTCGCTAAATGAGCATATGGAAGAATTTGGTTATAAGTGAATCCGTGATAAGTACAAAATGTCCGAATTATTTAAAAAATACCATGCGATGCAATTACGCACGTTTACCACAATTTGCATGAGCGACGTGTGCAAGTTGGGAGAAGATTATCAAGTACGCAGAACAAACCAAATAAAATGTAATGAATTTTATCCACATTAAAAGGACCTAGTTTAAGTGTACGTTGGTTTAGCCCAACTGCGGTGAAGAAGCATCATGAATGCAACATCAGCCTCAGCATGTGGCACATATATATGTGTCGAATATATATATATATATATATATATATATATATATATATATATATATATATATATATATATATATGGTGCGCTGAGGCTGGTTGTGGCTAGATCCTGGCAGATGATCTACCCACTGCTGCTACTGTTGCGCCATTAGCTCATGTCCTGGATGCCTCGTGGCGACCGCTGGGTGGGAGTTGGGTTTCGCCATTCTCCCTGCTAATATCCAGGACACCAATCCGCATGAGTCAGTGAACTGGCCATGTGCTAGACCCGCTGCATTTCAGGTGTACATTTAATCGGAGTCTTTGGCTGAGTACCCGAGTCGTTCTCCTGTCAGGTGTGGGCGCCATGCCAGTATTCTAGTGCATATTCTTCGGAGGTTAGGAGGTGGTTGATGGCCCTCTTCCCGTAAAACCTAGCCATGAGAGACAACAGGTTTACGGGTTATAAGCTCACAGCTCGATTGGCTTAGAGCAAGAGCGCCACGCATTGCCCCTGACAGTGAGATGGCACCTCCGGGTGTTCCATGGTTTGCTACTGCCCGCCTCAAGCCAGGCAGCTTCTGGTCAAAATGGTGCAAACCCGCCAAAACCCACCTGCGTTGGTCGTGATCGCAGGTGCGTATCCTACTACAGTCGCAAAACTTATATGAATCAATTCAGTACCTCAAAGGCTGCATGTGACGGCCGCCAAGCCGATCCCAATCTGTCTCTGCAATCACATTCCCGAGCTGGATCTGCTCCCCACTGCCTTGTGCGTCAGACTATTGAGCCAAAGGCTCCGGGCGGATTCCCTCAAGCAAACCTCCAAATCACCCACTGCCTTGTGGGTAAGGCTATTGAGCCAAAAGCTCCGGGCGGAGTCAATCAAGCAAACCTCCGAAGCACAACGACCACCTCGCGTGCGATTGCCCACCAATGCAATCGTATGCCTTCGCACAAAGCACTCAGCATCGGGTGCTGGAACGTGCGCACACTACTGGACCGGAACTCCAGTGAGCACCCCGAGCGACGCACTGCACTTGTCGCGATGGAGCTGGCGCGTTACCACACCGATATTGCGGCGTTCAGTGAAACTCGGCTCGCCGAGCAAGGTAAGTTGCATGAAACAGGTGCTGGCTACACATTGTACTGGGTGGGAAACGCCGCCTCAGCACCGCGTGATCATGGGGTCGGATTTGCAATATCCGATCGCCTCCATGGCCAGCTGGTGGGTGAACCAACGGGCATCAGCGCGCGGCTGATGACTATTCGCCTGCGACTCGGGAGAGGTAAGTTTGCCACTTTTACAAGCACGTACGGTTCGACCATGTGTTATTCTAATGACACGCGTGATCAGTTCTACAATCAGCTATCCTCTGTGATACGGTCTGTGCCGAGGAGCGACCGACTATTTCTGCTGGGTGATTTCAACGCGCGCGTTGGGCGTGATGCATCGGTGTGGGCAGATGTTATCGGTTCGCATGGCATTGGTTCAGCGAATGCGAACGGTGACAGGCTGCTCTCACTGTGTGCCACTCACGGCCTGATGATCACGAACACTCGGTTTGCACTGAGTGCGAATGATATAGCAACTTGGATGCACCCACGGAGTGGTCACCCTCACCTGCTCGACCATGTCATCGTACGTCAGCGTGATATGCGTGAAGTGCGCATGACACATGTACTGCGTGGAGCTGAGTGTGGCACTGATCACAAATTGGTTCGGACCAAACTGTACATATATTTTCGTAAATCGATGTATTGCACTCCCGCCTTGAATCGGCGTAAATTTAACATTCTCTCCCTCGGTACTGTGGCGAAACGTACAGTTGGGGCGACAGGGTTGCTGACAGGGAAGTGTTGCGCCGAAGTGGGATGTATGCAGTGGACTGCATACTTACTGAAACACCTGAGGTGGCTCGGTCATGTGAGCCGTATGGATTCGACGTGGATACCGAAACAACTCTTATACGGTCAATTGAGTATTGGGAAGCGGCATGCGGCGGAACCAAAGTTACGTTACCAGGACATGATCAATGTGAAAGCGGTTGATCGATGTGCATGGCGCGATCTAATCACGAAGGCAGTTGCCGAAGTGCGGGGGAAAGACCTCATGCATGCAGGGAAGAAGCAACAAGCATCGATGGGTTGTTCTCCATCGACATCGAGCGCATGGTGCTGTAGCACATGCGGTTGCGAGTGCCTGAGTCAGGCAGCCCTGGTGAGCCATGAGCCAGGCCACTCGAGACCACTACCGAAGCGACAACAGGTCCTGCAGAAAACGTAGGGAGAACCGGGTAGCGTTTGTAGGTACGCTGCATTCGATTTACTAACCGCGTGCTTGCATGCTAAGTCTTTATTTCAGGTGGTGGGTTTTCAATTTTGTCCTAATGCTTCTTTTCTCATATACATGTCTACCTATCTTCTATAAACTTTCACACATCGGTTAAGCCAATTGTAGTTAATTTCGATAACATTTTCGTGTTTGTGGCATTTCCGTAAAATATACTTTCCGACCTCGTGAAGTTATCTCGGATCCCTTTGCAAACAACTTATTTCATATGCTCATTAATTTAAGATTTGTATCACCGTTTCCTTATGCATTACTCGATTTATCTTCTTTGTTATCTTTCAAGCGATTGGCTGTTGCTTGATATCCCCGGTGTGGCTGCGCTTGATGTGCATGTTGACAAGGTGCCTACCTGTCTATTACCCACCACCTCGTTCATACTGGCTCCAGGAGACAGTTGGTCGTTGCTGGATGGGACGGGGTGCACGGTCCTTGTGGCCATGTTAGGATCAGAGAGTGGTTCCATGCACTCAGTGTGGAGCGGACTATGGTCCAGCCACCGCCTTGTGTGTGCTTGATTCCCCAAATACAGCGTGCTTGTGTTTGCCTGTGAAGGAGTGTGGGCCGGCTCCGTTGATGAAACGTGGCTCCCATCCGCATGCCTCCCGGTCTTATTCCTTCGGGTTTACACTGGATATGGGGTGTGTTGTTGGAGCTGTGGGTGGTGCAGCGCAAGCCATCCATGGTCCCTCTGTAGACGCAGGCGTCCTGTGGCTGGCCACAGTGACAGGCAAATCCGAAAGCGGATGCCGCCAATCGTTATATATATATATATATATATATATATATATATATATATGGTTTTTTTCAAATTACGTATGACCGTTTCATATGCCGAACCCTTTTACAGAAATGATAAATTTTCCAAAATGTATGGGCTTATATTCGCTAATATACGGCTTTCATTCTTTCCTCTTTATTTTCGTCCTGTGCGTGGCCGAAGATGACTGTCAATAAAGAAGAAGTAAGAGGCATCAACAGTACGCCGGTACGCTGTACCGACGCTTTGCTGCCGCGGAACCATCACCGGTCGCACGTGGGCTAAAGATACTGCAATTTTCGCCCTGCCCCTACGCAGACTCGAACCCGCGCCGGCAGATTACAAGATTTGCTCGTTACCTTTAGGCTACAAGTCGGCTGTCAATAAGCTGTTAATCGCTCGTAAATTCGATACTGCATAGTCACGAGCCGAGTCGAATGCCGACTGTGCCATCTTGAGTAGACCCTATCTTCTGTTGTTACCTTTCATCTCTTTTCTTGGATAAACGACCAGAGGCGGTTTTAAAACGGGACACGGTGGCCGAGTGGTCTGCACGTTTACTTTGCAACCATAAGATCACCGGTTCGAATCCGCGTATGGGTGGGTGTCCTCGCGGTATACTCAGCCCGCGCGCGACTGGTGGTGGTCGCGCGGCAGCGAAGAGCCGTTACGGCGTACAGCTGACACATTATTTATTATTAGTATTTACGTTTGACATACTTGACCTTGTTACCACGGGACCGCCAGCTGTTGGAGTTTGAATTACTCGAGCTCCCTGTTCTATTTGAACAACTGTTTCTTAGTTTTAAACCGTTGCACCGGCTTACTTTCTGTTAATTTGTTGGGTTTCTGATCGAAATTGATAATTATCTTACAAAAATATTGTTGGTGTGCACATTATTAACGCCTTCCACTTGGCATTTTTGTTGGAGTTGGGACCGGATCAATTTTCGTGCAGGGACGCTGGTTGAATGCGGTCTTTTTGCGGGAAGTCCTGCAGATAAGTGTTGATCTACAGGACTTTAGGAACCATTTTCTGCCATCTATGCTATAGAGTTGGTACTGAACCTCGGATATTTATGTTTTATTGCATTCAAGCAATTGAATCTATTAACTGGTTTCAAAATCCAATTCCCCATGGTCCCTTTGGCTGCTGATTGATTCTTACAACCTTACTTTATGCGTAGGAAGAAACCATTGAGGATATTGATAATTTTACTCTCTTTTGCTGCATCGATTCGTCTTGCACTTTCCATTGTTCTCGAGCAAGCAACCCTCTAACTGTTGATGAAAACCAAACAAACCCTACATCTCTACTCACAAGTTGCTGTTTTCACGGATTGGTTTGTTCGATGAGTCTTTACTTCAAAAACCCGATAATCGTTTTTACTGCTTTTTCCGCACTGTTCCCTTTTAGTTATCCCAGCTGATCTCTGACCGTCGGGCCCTAACGACAACTTTGCTTTCCGTCGCCATCCTACATGGAGAACATATTAAAAAGGAAACTCGATGCTATTGCCAAAAAAGTAACCGTGTTTCGGTGTTTTGATTTACTATCACAGTACGCCCACGAATTCAAGAACTGTGACGTTGTTCGGATATCCGATTTACAAGTGGACACACCTGGCGGTTGGTCTCAATTTTGTGTGTGATAGCGGATTCAGATTTTTTGCCGCTTTTAAAGAACACCATCCCTTGTTCAAACATAATATCCTTCCCTCAGAAACCGGATTTGAATACAGGATCTTTCTCCTCACTAACTGATTTATCCGTTCTTGACGTAATCTCATTCCAACCTGCTTGTATCCGTAACCAAATTTTTCAGATCGACGAAGAACTGAATTGCGCGATGTCTCGTGAGTCATATACTTCTCTCCGTATGTAATCTTACAATAGTTTTCAGTCACGCTTTAAGCCAAGTGTCCGAAAGATTAACAAACAACTCCAACAACCGACCATCGCCACGTAAGTTAAACGTATCAGTTGTTCTGTCACTGTTGTCCGAGCGAATTTAGTCCTTACTGTGACCCGGTGATTAATCTATCTCCGTGACCAATTGGGATTAAGTTTTGATGGCACCAGATTTACCTCCTTACATGTGCTCGTTCTTCCCCTGCTACTCATTAGTAGTGCATCACAACAGGTGCTATTAGGGACTCGAATCAATAATCGAGGTCTCGTCTTCGGACTAGTGGCACTCTGTCAGCACTCTCAATAAGTGAAGTTGGATCTGACATATCACTTAGGGATAAACGTCATTCACCTGTAGTTCGACTGAAGCGACGAGCTACAGCACACACACACACACAGTCGGCCTCAGCATTGGCACCCAAACGACGATGTAATATCATCGTGCTTGTCCAATGCACGCACTTATATAGACTAGGTTACATACATGGTGGTCCAATCTGTGCGAATGAAACGAATTAGTTTATCGAATGGTTACGTCACTAATGTGTTACTACTACTACTACTGCCACCATCGATCGATTCTCAGGCACCATGATTACACTGTTGGATGGGACAGTTTGAGGAACTGTCCGACCGACCTGTCATGGCACTGTCGTTCGCTATATCAATTAAACCCGCATGGGACGTTGATGTCACACTACCACTTTGGCAGGGACCCTACGTAGATTTGTTCCCATTGAATTGGAACAGGATACCTGTACCCGACAGACTTGATTCACCGTTGCCGAAAGCAGAAGTCGACTAATTGGTGATTCACCGTATATGGGACATTGAGGAAGTGCTTTAAGATTGGTGATGGTCAGCCGTTATCTTCGTCTCTAAAATGAGCCGCATGATTTTCTACCGAAATCGTCGAGACGCTGACCGTGTTAGCATTGTCTTGCAACACCTTACAGACACCGTATTGCGTCAACTCACTGGTCCATGTCAGGTCAGGTGTCCGCTTCGACATAGGGTGTCTTGACCACATACTCACATACCAAGTACTTACAGGCAACCAATCATGGTGGTTCCCCCTGATTTGAGAGCCGCCTTATGCCTATTTATCGTAACGGTTTGTGGTGCTGTCTATTTTTGAAGGTTGTGTCTGGGGAACTTTATTCTGAAATCTTTCTATGCGTTTCCCTTGATTAGGTAAGAATCCGAGACCTTAACGACAAACTGGGTGTTGCTACCGAATTTGAAGATGACCATGATCGACTATTCTCTCAGTTTCCTTTGGATTTAAATTTTTTACCCGGTCGATTGACAAACCTGGGATGCCCGCACGACATGGCTATACTTGGATAGCTTCACACAGATCGCCGCACGCTTCGTTATGTCGTTGAGGTGCTGATTGGTCATCCGAGCTGAAAAATCTGACTGCAGACGTTTGACCGTCAGTCGGTGCGGTGCCGGCCCGTAGCCCTAAGGAACACAAGCCTGCCTTGTAATCCGAAGGCGCGGGTTTGATCCCGCGTAGGGACCGGGCGACCCTCGCAGTATCGTTAGTGCACGTGCGACTGGTGGTGGTTTTGCGGCAGCAAATCGTCGCTACTGCGTACCGGCGTACTGCTGATGCCTGCGTAACGTGTCTTGCTCAATGTAGGCAAGTGCCTAGTCGTTCATATTCCACACCGGCACACCTACATTTGCAAGCTTGGAGTGCATGACCCGCAGGCTACGTCGCAGTATCCCTAGCCGACCGCGACTGGTGCTGGTCGCATGGGAGCGAGGTGTCATTGTGGTGTCGTGCAGGATCACCCTGGTTGTTTCAGATAGTGAGTTCGCCTCGAAAATAAGCAGCCAGCTCCTTGGTCTCTTGCGGATGACACTCAGGAGTTTGGCTTCATCCAGGTCCCGTATAATTTTCAGTACCTGCGTGCGTCCCCATATCGAATACGTCATTCAGACTTGGCAGTCTCGCAGCATCCGGTAACCCATAACTTCGGGTAATGACGAATACCAAGAGTTTATGCAACATTCCCTACTATTAATAGCTGAAGAAACTCGGTGTTTACTAAATGCCACCGGCGACTACGCGGAAACCACAATCATATAGGAAACACGGAGTGATTATATATACCGCCACTCTTTGAAGCCTAGCCCGAACACTAACCTGAAAGTTAATAACTTGAAATCATCAGTGCAGCCGTATAATTGTATTGTTTAATCTAATGTTAAAACGGGTATCGCAAGATGAGGGTAGACGAATTGACTCCTTCCTTCGGGTCTACCAAACTAGGAATGTCATTCGAAAACAGTGGGTTATGCCCCAATCAGCCTTCTTCAAAAAGTGTTTGGCCATCGCACTCAGATCGATTAGCCTTTTCACGAGAACAAGTATTCTGGAATGTATTCCGGTGGTTTAGCTTATTTAAACAAATAACTTTTTTATTCTCGACCACGCGAAGTACGCCTACGCTGGCAGGATCATGGTAAGAGTATAACGAGTGATCGAGCAGTATGCAAAAGTATGATAGGATGATCATAGCTGTGAATCCATGAATGCATGTTTGTGTGTAAGTGCATGTGTGTGTAATTGTGTGGCTGCACTTTCGACTGTGTTTGATCACGTTGCCAGCGTCGGAAGGGATGCTCGACGTATGTGAGTTGGATATGATTGTTCTGATGAGCAAGGGGCAGTGACCTGTTGGTGGCGAGTCACAACCGCCACGTCGCAGTGTTGTTTAACAGATATTTGTAGGTTATTATAGGAAGATCGTTTGTCAGGCAAAAACCCACCACATCCTGGAACACTGCCGCCGAACTATTTGCTGGAACGGGGTAAACCCGAACCACCCAGCTGGTATCACGAGGAGGTTGTTCGGCGACCAAGGGAATCGATGAAGGCGGATGAGCTATCCGCTTGTTCTTTACAACAAGCGTTATCTGTGATAGTTGGTTTCACTTTTTTGCTAGACACTATTCTATCCTGATCTGCCGTTGTCCTGTCGCCTCACTGAGGCACTTTTTGGTTTGTTTACTTGTATTGTCGCTGCTTTCGCTATTCTATCCCCGACTAATCCACACCCCCGGTTAAGCTTATGGTTTTAATCAACCTAGTACCACTGTCATGTTGTTCAGTGCGTAATAGCAAATCTGTAACGGATACTTATCCTCAAATGAATCTGTGTTTGGACAGATAGATGCATTGTACCGATGCAAAGCCGGTAGTTATTCCGATGGAAGTAGACCGGACGTGGGAACAGCTGGCCGCAATACCATTCATGACGCTTGCCATCTTCCCGTACGCTGAGAATTCGCAGCGATTTGAGTTTTGTGGTATTCCTGATAGTGCTACTTTCTCATTAGAATATGTGTTTCGATTTTAAAATTCTACCGTTTTGATCATCCGTGTTTGTTTTTTTGTGTTATCGTTCGACTGAAATGGCTAGTTAACTTATTTCTGGAGGTGCTGTTGCCGCGTACATACCAGTAACTCGACTGTTATCCTTGTTCCGAACAATTACCCATCAGTCACCATTACATGAATCAATGGTTGATTGGCCTGTAAATTGAATGCTTCATCCGACCCTCATCATTGTTGGTTGCAGGTAAATACATAAATAACGTTTAATCTCGATTTGCGCAGGGCACGTTCGAGCAAGCATAATAAGTTACTCGCAAGATGTTCCATTCATGGGTCACGTGTTGACCAGTTGCGCTCAGCACATTATGCTTGAGTATTTCTAGGCTAGTCTGGTAATATGCCGATAACTAATAACGGTAGTCTTCAGGTGTCCACGTTGAATAACTTCGTTGAGTAATCAAGCGAAATTTCAATTGGTGAGTTAGTGAAGCACGTTTGATATACAAAAAATGTGCTTCAGAAACAGGCGGATTTCCGTCGGTCATCTGTGCTTTGGATCAGCTAACGCATAGGCTTGATACAAAGTGCGAAGTGGTATCTCTCAGTTTCAATGGAGATTCGAGTGGAGGAGTGGACACTCCCCAGCCAATTGGTTCGCTAAATCCCTCAATTGGTTGATCATGTGAGGACAAGCCAGGGGCATGCTGGTTTACTTACGTTCTTTTCACTTTTTCTAAATCCTGTTGCTTATCAAATACACTACTTTCAATGGACGCATTTGCATGCCTGAGTGCCTTATTCCACTTTCCACTTGCTCTTTAGAGTCGCGGATACCTTCTGGAAATCGAACCATCCACGAAAAACAGTCTTTTCATCATTTGTGTTATTCAGCTCCGACTCCTTTTCGTTCGTCTACAAGTTAGTCGAATTTCTGCCAGAATATTTTCGTTACAATCATTGCTGGGAGCCACCCTCAAGATTTTTCAGATTCCTTAAAATGTACTACAGCGAAGCTAAACTATAAGTACTTTGACTGACTGTGCTTCCGGTTGTACTTGTTTCAGCAGGAACAAAACCTCTTCATTTGTGAATTTCTATGTTTTAGAAGCAAGACTAATGAATTTGAAACAGTGATTTTTATTTCAGGCGGGACAAAACTTGTATCTCGGTTTCACTAGTAATTTTTCGGCACCATGAGCATCTACTCACCCCCCGAGATCCGCAGCACGTAGACACGACCAGTGTTACCTGATACTTCGACTGTGCATTCTTAAGCTTTTCAGGACTGCTTGGTATTTTTTTTATATCTTTGATCTTTTCAGTTGGCTGGATGATACCTGTTGACGAGACTGGACCTTAGCCTGTCCCACTGGTTTGCATGCCTCAACGGGCCATTGAGTTGCGCTTGGTGGTATTTTTTGCGCTTTCAGATCCACTCATGCCAGATTGGTCAATGGTTAGAGGCCATACTAACTCAGCTCCTCCAGTTTGGTGGTTGAAGTGAAAGTGGCCTCTCATTCCATTAAACCGACTCTGTATTCCACTGCTTTTGAACTAACGGCTTTAGCTAAGGACCCTAATCGTCCTCCTGTCTAGATCTGGACAACTCAACAGTATCCTGTCCATTTCATACGATGAACTTCTCTTCAAACAATTTCTTGATGCTCTGGCCGCCGCAGAGGATAATCAACGCCGCCCCATTCATTGCATCGAGCAGTGTAAGTATGGTGGAGGATTCCACTGTCCAGGCCTCCTTTTCTTATTCCCCTCCTGCGCGTTTTTATCGTTATCTTCCTGTTTCAACTTCACTTTTCCCCCTTTTACAACTCCCAATTCTCGACTCTTTCTCCCATTGCTTTGAGATTCACTTGTCTTCTAGTTTCGACTCACGCAACCGCAGGGCCTCACTCCGGTCCAGTCGACAACTCCATGTCCAACCAAGCAGTCGTCACTTAATCCGTTTCTTTTCGGAGCCATCGATCCTCGCTAAGAATTACATGCTTAAACGGGCGCATTTACATGCTGGGAAACAGGCAGCTCCAACAATAGAGGCCCTGTCGATGGATGTCTACTACTTATCGGAAACCCATCTGCAAGATTCGAGTTCTCCGCTTAGCTTACGATGCCCCACATCTGATGCTGGCGGCACTTTCTTATTGCGCTCACCTGGATTTGTCGCAGCTTCAAAGACCGGACAAGCCGGTGCGGGCATTGCCCTGAGTCCCCGGACTGAAGCTGCCCTGATTGGATCCCAATGAACAGCTGGATGTGTACCGTCCGAGTGGCTGCGTCGTTCAGAGCTTCGAACTCACGCGCATACAAATGGTGCCTGTATGTCATCGCTCTGTACGTCTCCGCAAACTGTAGTGCTGACTCAGTGAAAGATGACTTCCATTACCAAGTGAACGCGCTTTTTCGACACAGAAGAACCACGGATATTGTAATTCTGGCTGGGGATCTGAACGCTCAAGTTGGAAAATTGTCCACTGATGAGCTGCATCTGGGCAGCCAACATAGTGTAGGCTCCCGTAATGCTAACCGTGAGCGATTATTTTCATTTGTGTGAAGATGCTCGCTTATTTCTTGCGAGCATTAAGTGCCTACGCTGCGCCGACCGGAGGGTGACATGTTGCCCACCAGCCATGGAAGCAAATCGATCACAGCTGGATAGGCTGCGTCCAGAACTGTCGCTCGATTTGGAGCACATGTGTGGACAGTGATCATGCACTTCTAGGTGCTGATCTGCATGTGCGTTTTGGTGGACGCACACGACGCTGTGAGCGCATCGATACCAGCCAACTGGCGAAGCCAGCTGTCTGAATTCGCATCGAAGTACGCTAGCATTCGGGTTGAGCAAACGCTTAATAAATACAATTGAAGCTCACCAGTCGCATGTTCTCCAGACCTTACTAGCAGCAGGTAAATCCTCATGTGGTAAGTGCAATAGCCAACATGGACATTGGATCTCTTAGCAGTTTCTGGAACTTATCGATGCTCACCGGCACATTCCGGCTGGAATCTAACACAGTGAGACTCGCAAAATCCTCAGGGCAAAACTGAGTGCTGGCCTGAAGGGAAACCGCGAATCCTGGTGGTCTCATCATGCCTCAGAGATTGAAGCGGCCGCCGCCCTTGGTAACTATCGTAGGTTGTCCCATTTGATACGTGTAACGGGCAGCAGGACACCTGGTGTCAATGTAACTCTTTGTGACAAGAGTGGACAGCCAAGTTACAACTTGTTAAAACCCTTGGAGTGTTGGACTGAGCACTTTAAAGGCTATTTAATCGGCCGGGATTGTTAGACTTCTCACCGACCGGTGATTGCCCTACTCCCGGGGCTGTACCTTTGGATCCGCCCTCTCGCTCAGAAGTCGAACGTGAGATCGGATTGCTGAAATTAAATAAAGCCGCGGGGCCAGATGATCTTCCTATAGCCCTCTTTAAATTCGAGGGCCTGCTCTTGTTGATGATGTACAAGAGTTCCTAGTAAAACTGTGGGAGCAGGAAACTGTCCCAACCGACTGGATCCACTCCGTCATAGTCCCAATTTTCAAGGGAGGTTGAATATCGGAATGCGGCAACCATAGGGGAATCAGTCTGATCTCCATCGTCTCCGAATTGCTTTCCTCTGCTATCCTGCACAGATTGACTGGCACTCATCAAAGCCAGATTCGTGAGGAACAAGCTGGGGTTCATCGAGGTCGTGGCTGCATCGACCACATCTTCACTTTGCGTCAGCTGTTGGAGCACCGTCACATATATTGGCGGCCCATCGTTGTCGTGTTCCTCGATATCAAAGGTGCATTCGATTCAATGGATAGGTGTGCTCTTTGGGATTGTCTACTCAGGAAAGGTGTCCCCAAAAATATATATAAGTATTATCCGAGCTTTATACGCACGTAGCTCAAGCGAAGTGAGGGCTTATGGCCAGCTGTCACCGCCCTTCAATATCCAGCGGTGTGAGACAAGGATGCCCGCTGTCACCTTTCCCTTTCAATTTCGTCACTGAGGAAGTCATGGAAATCACGTTCATAGGACACGACTTAGAAAGTGTGGACCTGCTCCCTGGAGAACGACTTCTTGACTTGGAGTAGGCCGACGATATTCTGCTAATTTGTGGCAGTGTCCAAACGTGCCAAGCAGCGCTAGACAAAGTGGCACTGGCTGTCAATCTCTTTAGGCTTTTCTTTGCCCTTTCGAAGTGAAAGCATTTCTCTAAGATTGGCCTGGACCACCTCCTGCGGTGAACCTTGTTGTTGCTCAGCTAGAAGTCGTCCAACAAATCATGTATCTAAGCAACCATATTAGCGCCCGTGGAATAGAAGATAAGAACACGAACCGTATAGCAATATTTCGTGACACTTTCGCCCATTTTCATCACTCATTTTGCTCTGGTGGCCTCCCTCTTCCCTGAAGGGCAGTGTTTACACCGCAGACATGCGTTTAACCCTGCTGTTCGCTTTGGAAACCTGCCCATGAGGTCGACAGACATAAAGTGTTTAGTTATGTTCGGCCATCGCCGTCTTCGCAGTGCGTGAGCAAGGAGCATGTTATGCTTCTCGTTTATGGTGCAGGAAAAGCGACTGAAGGGCTCAGTACCGTTATATCACGCCACAGGCTGCAATGGCAAGGCCTCGTTTTGCGCCTTCCAGCACACCGACTCCCGCGACGTGCATTGTTTGCGCGACCGGGATTTGGATAGAAGAAGAGAAGGGGAGATCAATCAGTGACTTGGACAAGGAGAATGAAAACCCTCACTTCAAACGGTGTTGGTTGGTGCCTCCTGATTGCTTGAGGTCCGACGGACGAAACACGTTTAGTTGGATACACTAGTTGACGACCAGGAGTCCACCTCAATGGTTTTGGTGTTGTGAGTTCCTTTGCTTCCCCCCACTATCCAACCAGAATCTCTTTCTCATTGCATAATATTGTCATGTGGTTTGTTCGTTTGATTTGTATTCTGTAACGCTTAGTGTCTCACTTTCTCATGTATCTTTTCAACTGCGGCACAATAGCCTAGGTGTTTCATACCTTTTGCTAACTTGTAATGGTGATGATGATGTCTGTCGGCTTCATGGATGAAACATCATAAGCATCGTTTTAATGTCTTCTTTTCTTCCCATATCTAGGTAGCTTTGCTGGGTTGCATTTTCCAGCTCTATCATGCTGGCCGGTGTTTGGGTGCCAAAAGTGTCTGAGGGGTCCATGTCCCCTGTCTCCACTTTCTAAGATCGATTGTCACAGTGAAAGAAAATAGTCATTGAACGTATGCCCCTGCAGATGGGTCACAACGCTTTTTCTTGTACTACCCGCACCCATATCCAGTGGAGTGTGGCATGGTTACTTCTGGGCTTCGCCACGCCACGTAGCACGTATATCACTCATTGGTATATGAATCCGCATCAGTACCCAGGGTTATGACAACTGTCAAGAGACGGTAGGTTCATCGTAACTCACAAGCACATGTGCCCATTTTGTGAACATTTGCCTCGCGCGAGACCAGTGTCAACTTTCCACTTACTGGTGTACCCGTGATCAATCATGTCGCTGGAGGATAAACATCAAACATGTGACAATACCCGTTAACTCCCACAAGTTCAGTGTCATTGAACCATTGAAACCGGAGCGTCAAGGTGCTTCACTGTCATGCTTCGCGTCGCGATAATACTAGTGACTAAATGGGGTGAGGTGAGAAGAAAAGAAAGATGTGAACCACGCAAAGTGGATCAAGTACAAAGTCAGTTCTTGAGAACTGGATGCAACCCCAACAGCCAGATGCTGGATAGCGATTGCAGAAGTGCTATGATGTTTGCTAATTCCGAGACTCATCACCCGCGAGAACGGCGACATACAAACCTGACAAACACGCACTCATGCGTCATTAATACCTCATCAACTGCCCACCCTTGCGCATTCAC